AAAGCCCAAGGTAATACCCAGGTTCTATAATCAGGCCAACAAGAAGTGCTGCCTTACTGGAATATGATAGGGAATGAAATTTGCTTCTCACATGTGCACACCCAGAGGCAACAAGATTGACTCATGTTGACCCACAAAATGATTAGGCTGTACTACAAAACAGAAGGTGTGTATTCAAGAATAGAAATCATTATTCAGATGCATGATCAAGGGACAGTCTGAAGGGGTGCACCAACAGGGTCAGGGCAAAGGGGAATTTTAAAGGATCAGACAGGGAGATGATCTGATGTTATGTTAATTGTGGTGACACAAATGGTCCTAAGTCCATTTGTCTGCCCATGATTGGTGGGCCGAAGATCTTCAGATAAAACTTTGCAGTTTCATGGGTGGGTGTCACAACCAGCAGAGGAATTCTCCTTTCATAGCCACCCATGACTGAGTCAGGCTGCTTAATTTTTACATAGAAGTTTCAATATGGCAACTTTAGAAACAAGAGGGAATCTGTTTGACTCAAAGTAGGTTCCATACTCCCTTTAAAACTTACTTCACCTAAAGGAAACAATTTAGATATTATCTGTATTGCAGGGTCAGGAGGATACTCTGGTCAAGGACCCATTTTCACCTGATCACAAGGAAAGCATATGGCCCAACATTCCTAGACTTTAACACAATGTAGTCACTGATGAGATTTTTTTTAATTTAAATTTTATTTTTATATTCCCCATACAATTACAACCCCCTTATTTTTACCACAAGCCCTCCTTTCTCTACCCCCCAACCCCCATAGAGAGTATCTTTTTCATAGTTATTTGTTGATTTTGATATTTCCTTTCTTATAGTTATTCTTTTTCCTGGTGCCTTATTTAAGTTTTCTAGATTCCTGCTATGAGTGAGACCATCCGGTATTTTTCTTTTTCTTTCTGGCTTATTTCGCTGAGCATGATCCCTTCCAGCGCCATCCATGCTGCTGCAAATTGCATGTGTTTATCTTTTTTGAATGCTGAGTAATAGATGATCCAGTCATCTATTTTTGGGCATTTGGGTTGTTTCCAAATCTTAGCTATTGTAAACAGTGCTGCTATAAACATAGGGGTGCAGGTGCTCTTTGGAATTGATGTTTCTGTGTCCTTTGGGTAAATACCTAGGAGTGGAATTGCTAGATCATATAGAAGCTCTATATTTAGTAGGTCCAGAAATCTCCACACAGCTCTCCATAGTGGTTGGACCAGTTTGCACTCCCACCAACAGTGCAGGAGAGTTCCTTTTTCTCCACAACCTTGCCAACATTTGTTGTAGCTAGTTTTTTTTAATATGTGCCATTCTCACTGGTGTAAGATGGTATCTCATGGTAGTTTTGATTTGCATTTCCCTGATTACAAGTGATGTTGAACATTTTTTCATATGCCTGTTGGCCATTTGCATTTCCTCTTCAAACCAGTTTCTTTTTAGCTCTTCTGCCCATTTTTTGACTGGATTATTTTCTTTGTTTTTGTTGAGTCTCATCAGCTCTTTGTAGATTTTTGTGATCAGTCCTTTATCATTAGTGTTGGGTGCAAAAATGTTCTCCCAGTCGGTGGGGTTTCTCTTTGTTTTGGTTATTGTCTCTTTTGCTGTGCAGAAGCTCTTTAATTTGATGTAGTCCCAGCTGTTGATCTTTGCCTTCACTATCACTGCTTTGGGTGATGTGTCTGTAAAGATGTCTTTGATGTGCATATCATGGAGTGTTTGGCCTATATTTCCTTCTATGTATTTTATGGTTTCAGGTCTTATGTCTAGTTCTTTAATCCATTTTGAGTTGTTTTTTGTGCATGGTGTGAGGTTGTAGTCAAGCTTCATTCTTTTGCATGTAGCGACCCAGTTTTCCCAGCACCATTTATTGAACAAACTTTCTTTGCTCCAATGCATATTCTTTGCTCCTTTGTCAAAGATTAGTTGACCATAAATCTGTGGGTTTATTTCTGGATTTTCTATTCAATTCCATTGGTCTGTGTGTCTGTTCTTGTTCCAATACCATGCAGTTTTGATGATTATGGCTTTGTAGTAAAGTTTGAAGTCTGGGAGTGTGATGCCTCCATTTCCTTCTATTTTTTTCAGGAGAGCTTTGGCTATTCGGGGTTTTTTGTGGTTCCATATGAATTTCCTCAATAATTGTTCTATTTCTTTGATGAATGACATTGAAATTTTTATTGGAATAGCACTGAATCTGTATATTGCTTTTGGTAGGATGGCCATTTTAATAATGTTTATTCTTCCAATCCATGAGCAGGGGATGTCTTTCCATTTCTTTGTGTCTTCTTCTATTTCTTTTAACAGTGTTTTATAGTTTTCTTTGTATAGGTCCTTTACCTCTTTTGTTAGATTTATTCCCAAGTATTTGATTTTTTTGTTTCAATAGTAAAAGGGATGGTTTTTTTTGATTTCTTCTTCTTCAGTTTTATTGTTGGTGTATAGGAAGGCTACTGATTTTTGCGTGTTGATTTTGTATCCTGCCAATTTACTGAACTGATTGATGAGTTGAATTAGTTTTTCTGTGGAGTTTTTGGGGTTCTCTATGTATATTATCATATCATCTGCAAATAGTGATAGTGTGACTTCTTCTTTTCCTATTTGGATTCCTTGTATGTCTTTCTCTTGTCTTATTGCTCTGGCTAGGACTTCCAGTATTATGTTGAAAAGCAGTGGTGAGAGTGGACATCCTTGTCTTGTCCCAGATCTTAATGGGAATGCTTTCATCTTTTCACCATTGAGAATGATACTGGCTGTTGGCTTGTCATAGATGGCCTTTATGATGTTGAGGTATGTTCCTTCTATCCCAAGAATTTCAAGGGTTTTTATCATGAATGGGTGTTGTACTTTGTCGAAAGCTTTCTCGGCATCTATTGATATTATCATATGGTTTTTATATTTTTTTTTGTTGATGTGTGGATAACGTTGATTGATTTTTGGATGTTGAACCATCCTTGTGTCCCTGGAAAGAATCCTACTTGGTCGTGGTGAATTATCTTATGGATACATTGTTGGATTCTGATAGCTAAAATTTTACTGAGGATTTTTGCATCAGTGTTCATGAGGGAGATTGGCCTGTAGTTTTCTTTTTTTGTGTTGTCCTTGTTTGGTTTTGGTATAAGTGTAATGTTGGCTTCATAGAACGTGTTTGGTATTGTCCCTAACTTCTCAATTTTTTGGGAGAGATTGTGAAGGATAGGCACTAATTCGTTTCTGAACATTTGGTAGAATTCATTTATAAATCCATCAGGTCCTGGGCTTTTGTTTTTGGAGAGGTTTTTGATTACCATTTCAATTATGCTGCTTGTAATTGGTCTGTTTAGGTGTTCTATTTCTTCTTTATCTTCACTACATGAGATTTTAAGTTATCTTATTGGGAGATGAACTGCACGTGGTGGTGTTGCATTAATTTAGTGTGAGACATTTTTGGTATTGTGCTTTCAGAAAGACAAGCGTGTAAATGACAATAATGCAATGTGGCTGCATATTGTGCTGCCCAGTAGCTTTCTTAATTTGCCTGGCATCATGCAATTTCACTCTCCCGGTACAAGACACTCTTCTGGAACAGATGTGGGCACATGGGCACATGTCATTTGTTCACCCAATTTTGATACTCTATTCCCAGACACTGTCACTATTCTAGGGGTGGGCACATGGTCCAAGCAAGGTCTATTAAGTTTCTTCTCTGAGGTTGATATGTTGGCAAACTATTTCTTTGGCAGCCTGGAAAATGGAAGAAAATAAGGTCACTGCACAGGGGATACAGAACTCAGATATGGGAGAGAATGGAAGAGCAAGACCTGATGATATAATTTCCACTTGGGCCCAAAGCCAAATTGCTTTGGGAAATGTGTCTCCCTTCAACTCTCTTACCTTTCTGTCTTTTTTTGATTGTGTTTCTGTTAATTTCAATTGAAATAATCTTTATATATTTTTGTTTTTCTACATGTAAAAGTAATACATGCTCACTATAAAAGGAATTTGGAAAATATAGATAAGTGGGAAGAAAATCATATATTTTCATGCTTCAAGTTGGCAATTTAGTGTTTTTTAGTATTTCAAATACTAATTTTACAAGATTATCAGCATAACAAATATTGATGCTTTATATATTTACCATCATAACCTTTTCCCATATTCTTAAACCACCTTACAAATACAATTTTCTTAAATTTTCTCTTTAATTGGATAATTTTGCAGTATTATAACCCTAGCATTTTCATTATAGCCCTAGCATTTATTTTCAGAAACATTTATTGGGTCTAAGTATCCTAAATACTCATGATGAGCTTTAAATATGATTCCTTATTTAGATGAACACATGTATACACATCTGAGAAATTTATTCTTCATGGGAGATCAGGATTAAGTGAATCAAGCATATAACTAAGAAGAAAACAAATGAGATACCACCCAACCTTCAGTGAATACTTCTTTTCAAAGGCAGAAAGTATCCCCAATTAACCCATTTCAAAATTTAAGCGACATAAAATTACAAGAAGTAAAAGAAATAAAAACACTGCTATTCAACCACGGCACTAATCTCTTAGGAATATAATTTTAGCTATGAAAATTTTCCATCATGAAAGTAATACATTAAAAGTAAAAGATACCCTTGACAGCTATTTTTAAAATGATGATATCCATTCATCATCAAAGGTAAAAGTACAATGCAGGAAATGGTACAAATCAATATAATCCTTTGGGGGAAATTTGGCAACTATTTTATTTTTTGCATGAGTGAATGATTAATCAGTCATTTAAATTGCTTAATAATATTCCATTAAAGGCCAGCATTTTATTAACCAATACTCTATTTTTAGACATTTAAGTTTGCTTCCAAGGTTTACTGCTGAAATAATAGTAATATATGTATATGTGTATATATATGTGTGTGTGTGTGAGAGAGAGAGAGAGACAGAGGGAGGGGTCTCTTTCTCTCTCTACATATATACATATACTTATTCAGATGAGTTTTACTTTTTTTTTTTAAGATTATATTTATTCATGCATACAAGAACCGGGGTACAGGCCAGATGCGCAAGAGGGTGAGAGGATTCACCAGAGACAGAGTTAGGAGCAAAACAAGCAGATCTACTGAAATACACTGCTGAGGGGAGCATCCCCCAGACAGGAGAGGTCTGACGCACCATGTGGGATTCCATGCTGCAGAGGATGCAGACAGCATCACAGCGCTGTGCTCAACCACCTGCGCCATAAGGGTAAGCCCCAGATGAGTTTATCTTCCTTGGATTCATTCCCAGAAGTGAGATTACTGGATCAGGATTACAAAACAAACATTTTTTGCATCTTGGTGGAGATTGCCCAATTATCTTTTAAAGAGAACTCAGTGTATCATCACAATAGCAATAAATGAGAGTATGTGCTTCATCCCACCCTCTCCAATCTACTAATTTATTTTAATGTTTTATTCATCAAATGAGTGGAAATTTATATCTGGGTTTAATTTAAATGTTTTAATTACTAACAAGAACGAATACTTCCTGAGTATTTGTGTGAAATTGCATTAATCTTCACTAACATAATTTTTTAATCATTAAGAAGTCACCTTTTGTTCAGGTCTGCTTCTGCCCTGTTAGGGAGATAGAAAGTAGCCTCTCTGTCCCTTGCCTGAAAGTGGGGGTTGCTGATGTATCAGTGACCACAAACAGTTACATTGGTCCCAAATGCTTATGTCAAAAATCACATTGGGACCACTTCAGAAATATCATAAGCTGGGGGATTTCATAAAAATGCAGATTACTGGATTACATTCTTTAAAGTATCTACTCTGTGGGCCTGCAATAGGTCACATCTTTTAACAGCTTGACAAATCTGCAATACTGTCAGATTTGGACACCAGTGCTCTAAAGCAAAGTTTCCTAAAATTTGGTCACCTACTAGCATCACCTACTAGTAAAAGTACAAACTCTCCAGTCCTAACCCAGATCTACTGAATCAGAATCTCTAGTTAGGTCCCAGCAATCTGCGTTTCACCACATCTCCAACTGGCTTGATGTAAAACCATTGAGATGGAGACTTGGAAACAATCAAGGTCTACTGCCTCTTGCTTGGAAAGTCAAGAGAGAAGACATCTGAATGACAAATGGACTTCCATCCAGGACAAGAGACAAAGGGATTTATCAGGCAGATAAGAACAATTTACAGAAAGGCACAGATACAAGACAGGGCAGGGTGAATGACAGTATAAGGTAGCTTGCTGGCTGGAGTTCAGGGTGCAGCAAAGCTGACAGGGGATGAGGGAGGAAAGTTGATAAAATGTACCATGCATCATGCAAAGGAGTGGACATTTGTCATTATTTGATCACTCAGTCAATATTCCTCTGCCTAAATGCACCCTAATGCCCACAGGGGAAAGTACTTCTTTCCTACAGTGTCTCCTTGACAGGATGGTAAATCCAAGTGCTCCCCATTACAGAACCAAAGGAGCTCCTATAGGTTTTTCTCCCCACATCCTCTTTCACGTCCCTGTTTTAGTCAAGGGCTATGCGTGTGACCTTGTAGGGGCAGGAAGGCCACAGAGCAGGATACCTAGGATCCGAGAAGACCGGGTAAAGGAGAGTCGTGGAGCCTTTGGTGACTTTCTCAGGCTTTTATTGAGCTTTTACATGTAGTGCAGCAACCAGGTACACAGTACACAGGGGTGCCAGGGGGCCAGGAAGCCTCCAAGCCCCCAGCAAGTCTTCACTCTGGGCTTCTCTAGCTTTGCTCTCTCCTGCCTCTTCTCTTGGTGACTATCTCAATATTCCCATGGCCCACAGAAGTAAATAAGATAGCTTGCAACAATGTAACAGCTGCAGGTACCCCATCAGGCAGGGCAATCCTATTGGTGGGAGGGCAGAAAAACATGAAAACCATTTACCCTTACAGACCTAAACTAAGATAATTATACTCTCTGTCCTGGAAAGGGAAATGCAGGTAGAGGAGAACCACCATTTACTGGAGTCTTTGAACCTACCAGCAGAGAATCCCTTTCAAGAAGCCCGCACTCCTCTTGAGAAGGCTGCAGAAGCTCTGAAGGCCTCACCACACGCCCAAGATAGGACTGAATTGACTTCTCATACCATAGAGGGGGCAGTCTGTTTGGCCAAAGGAACTCCTTGGGGGTAGGAAAGATGATGCTGCCAATTTTCTATGGGTGGAATGAACAAACAGGGGCAACTTGCCAGATACTATTGGTCATATAATCCCTTTTCTTCTGGGGGGCCTCCTTAATTAGAGAAATTCCATCCTTCCATTCCAGCAGGATCCTTAAGGGATAGCTAGTTCATTTGTTTCCATTTTTGCCTTCTATAAGCATTTCTACTTGGGTATACATACAATCCATGTGTAATGGCGGGATGGTCACTGAGCAGGTTATCTACGATCTGAGCAGACTGGGTAAACGAGGAGTCCTGGAGCCCTCGGTGGCTTTCTCAGGCTTTTATTGAACTTTACATGTAGCGTGGCAACCAGGTACACAACAGGCAGGGGTGCCGGGGAGCCAGGAGGCCAGGAGGCCTCCAAGCCCCGGGGAGAGTCTTCACTCTGGGCTTCTCTGGCCTTCTTTTCTCCCCTTGTCTCTCTGCCTCTCCTGCTTCTCCTTCTCTTGGTTACTATCTCAATACTCCTCCATGGCCCACAGAAGTAAACAAGTCAGTTAGCAACAATGTAACAACTGCAGGTGCCTCATCAGGCAGGGCAATCCTAATGGTTGGAGAGCAGAAAAGCCTGAAAAACAATTTACCCTATACCATGTTATATAAATTATTAATGTCAGATGTGCAGAGAATTTAGGAAAGGACAATGTAGAGGCTCATCATCTCCAGAAGGATGATCTAAAAACCCAGAACTGGAAGAAGCTCTCCAAATGGTAGACCCTAACTGGGGCCCCAATACATTTAGTGGGAACAGATCTGGATTATCTCAATCTCTGTACCTGCTCTGAATAATAGTCCCTGGACAATCCCTCTGACAAGAGAATGGGGTAATGCTAGTCTGGGTGACTTGCCCTGTGGTTTGTAGGTGGGAGAGGCAGAGGAATATTGACTGAGTGATCAAATAATGACAAATGTCCACTCCTTTGCATGATGCATGGTACATTTTATCAAAAAAGAGGTGAAAGAGACTACCCAAAACTTCATTTTGGGTATCACAGTCTCCCCCACCCCCCCACCATTTCTGTTCTCTTTTCCCTGCTTTTTCATTTTATGTTTGGATTGTGTTAAATTGGATGTTATGAAAAACAAGAAAAATTAAAGACTCCTATGCTTTAAGATTTTTGGCACATAAACTTTGATACTATTTTTCTATGTAGAACAGCTGGCATAAGAGCTTTCTGGGATTCTTTCCCCCAAGTTTTACCATTGAAATGGAAATATGAAGGCTTTTATAGGCAGATGTGAGCTAACACTGATCTTTAAAAAAAATGTGTCAATACAACATACTATAACCAAAATAAATTTCCTTAGTCATTGAAACTAATTGAATTTGGGACTAGGAAAAGCAGCCTGTTCACACATTTATTCATTGTTTATAGGTAAGAAGATACCAAATTTTCCAGGTGAATGATGCTCCTGATAAATATATCTCTGTCCTGTGGACAATAAAATGATTCAACAAATGCCATATGTAGTATTTAGCTCTCAAGGAAACCCACGGCCTAGTTGGAACACATCCTATTTGCTGTGCCTACTGAAGGGTAATGTGAACAGATTGCTGGTAATAGCTCCCTCCACAGTGTCTGTCAGACATAAAGTGCCAGATCAAGTACTGACCACATGCAATGTGGACACCACCACTTTTCCACTTCCCTAAGTTTCTAAAAAGCATCAAAGAGAAATAAAGAGAATAAACTTCAAGAGCAATATTCAGATAACAATAAATTATTGCATGATCACTAACCATTTTATTATAAACAAAAAAGCAATACTGATTAAAAACAAATGGTAACCATTGAAATTTTAGTTGTTAATAACAAACATTTTTATGTAATTATTATTAACTTTCTTGCAGGAATTCTATTACTATATGTATTATGGAAAGGAATGCCATCATATCAAAAAAAATTATTATTTATATGTAAAAGAAGTGGCCTCATGTGGGTGGATAAGACCAAAATAAAGGTGGACTGGTGAGTGATAAAGTCAAAGTTCTACTATTTAAATCATAGTTGGTTACCAAGAATTGCATATAGGCTACTGAAAATATATACTATTATGCATGATTTATATATTATTTTGATACTCAAAAGGTGGTGTGTGAACCTGCATATATATTTGTTGATATAGCAAATTATTTGACTCTACCCTATATCTACTAAATCTGAAATTCTGGGAGCTGGGCCAGCTGTCTGTGTTTTACAGGTCCTTCACGTGCTCTGGTGTGCACTAAGATTTGAGATGCACCGTCTTAATGAGTTTTGAGTGCTCCCCTGCAGGACTGAGCAACTGCCCAGGCAGTTGGACTTGATGATGCAGGTGGATGTTATGTGCAGGCCTCTTGTCTACAGTCAATTCTCATAGCAGTAAACCAACTTAGTAGACCTCTGTTGTTGAAATGACTTCTTTCACCTAAAACTCACTTCCACACATTATCTGAGTTGAGACAGTATCATTTTCCTTATCAATTTTTTAAATCATCAACAGAAACTTTTCAGGTTACTTTCACTTCTAGAGCTAGATCCTCTATCTTTTTTTTTTTTTTTTTTTTTTTTTAAAGATTTATTTATTTATTTATTTATACATGCACTGGGTACAGTCAGAAGCGCGGGAGGGTGAGAGAATTCACCAGAGCCAGAGCGGGGAGCAGAGCAGGCAGAAGGACCGAAGTACACTGCTGAGGGGAGCAGCGGGTGGCAGGAAGAGGTCTGCGCGCCATGTGGGACCCTCCTCTGGTGGCCGGGGAGCCGGGGAGCAGCCGGGGATCGAACCGGCGCTGCAGAGGCTGAGGGCAGCTTCGCAACCCAGCGATCAACCGCTGCACCACCGGGGAGGCCCTAGATCCTCTATCTTTAAGCAAGCTGTAGAATATATAAATGCTGTGTCTAATAGTTAATATAACTATGGATTTTCTTCTTTATAATGTGTATTCTTTAAAAAGTCATTTTTCTTTTTAATTATTTTTTTGCAATACTGGAAGGCTTAAATTTTCTTACATCACTTAGAGTAGGACAAACTCCCTCAACCTCTCTGCTGGCCCAAGTTATAGAATTCAGTTATTATTATTCATATGTTCATTAAAAATTAATTTCAGCAGGATACTTTTTGGACCAGTGACCAATCAGCATCAACAATTTATTAAATGTATATAACAACCTAATACCCTGTTCTAGAAGTGGCATAAATACACACACACATACATATTCATACACACATACATACATGTGTTCTATAATGCTCAATACATAATTGAGACAATTAGCCTGTGGCTAAGGAGGAAATATAAACTTGAAAAAGTCAATGACAAATCAGATAATAGCCTAAGAGTTTTCTCTAGGCACTATATGAATAAATATAAAATAAATGGCAAATTCAGTCAAAAGAAAGAGATCTCTGGATTGGATAGGTCTGGGAAAGCTACACTCAAGTTTCCTTTACTGAGCAGATGTTTAAGAACTTGCTCCATGAAGGACCTTGTGCAGGTCCTGGAAACAATGCTAAACTTAAGCTAGGCTTCAGGGAAAGGCCAATAAAATGCAGGAATAGCTCAAGCAAAGGTATGGTGTGAGGAGTTAATATAATGGTATGGTAAGCCTCTCCTTGCATATCTCCAAAGAAGCCTGAAGCATGATTGTCCATCAACAATCCCAAGGGGGAGTGGCCTTTATATAGTCTTTTCTGTTAACTTTGATGCTTTTGCTGGAGCTATGAACCATGTCATACCAGCTTGTCAAAATTGCTTTGCACAAACATTGAGATTGCTGCTGTGCATCTGGTTTCATTGTCAGAGTCTGAGTTTCAGTTGCCATGCATGGTCATGTTGTGGGATGTACTTATGTGGCTAGACATCCATAAAAGCCTTGGTCCATGAGACTTAAGTCAACTTCTCTGAGTACAGACATTCTACACATGTCCTCTGCAGAACTGAAGCACATCTTGTAGGGCCTTTGGTGGTGAAGGAATTGAAATCTTGTATTTATCTCATCTCTCTGGATTCTACCCAATGCATATCTTTTTCCTGCACTCTCTGTTACAATAAACTTTAGACATAAGTATAACTTGATATACAGTCAGAAGTTTTTCTAGCAAATCAGTCCTAGGACTCCCTGAAATATATGGCTGTGACATGATTCAAAATGAACATGAATTGGGCCTCCCCGGTGGCGCAGCGGTTGAGCGCTGGGTTGCGAAGCTGCCCGCAGCCTCTGCAGCGCCGGTTCGATTCCCGGCTGCTCCCCAGCCACCAGAGGAGGGTCCCACATGGTGCGCAGACCTCTCCTGCCGCCTGCTGCTCCCCTCAGCAGTGTACTTCGGTCCTTCTGCCTGCTCTGCTCCCTGCTCTGGCTCTGGTGAATTCTCTCACCCTCCCGCGCTTCTGACTGTACCCAGTGCATGGATAAACGAAACAAACGAACAAACAAATAAATAAATAAAACATGCCTCTATAAAAAAAAAACAAAACAAAATGAACATGAATTTTTGGGAGTAGAGACAATAAATATTTAGATCTTATGGGAAAATTCAATTCTTTCTTACCTATAATAAGTAAGAGGTATATGGGTATTCATTGTACTTTGCTTTAAAAGTTCCTAGTTTGAAAATTTTCAATGTATAAATTTATAAAAAATGAATAGCATGGGGCAAATATTAAGTCCTCAAAATATTAGCATCTTAAGCTTATATAATGTTATAATGCACTGTTATTTCAATATATATTTTTTTAAGAATCAGGAGTAGAAAGCAGAAGTAAACCAATTATTGTGTATGTGCATGGACATGTGTGTATATGTAATCATAGAATTATTTGTCTTGAAGAGTAGAAGTTTTACATGTCATTGTTTAGTAAAATCTATCCAGCTTTTCTTGTATGTTTGCATGTGTATTTTTCATTGCTTTTTGCACACTCCTTCCCTGGATAGGTAGAGTGCTTTAGAAACATAATAGAACCTGAGTTCGTGGGATGGAAGTGACATGAGACTGTGGTAATAGAGCCAAGAGGATAATTACCAAGTTAGTTTCCTGTGGAGTTACTGGGTCAGCAGTGCCAAGAGCAATAACGTGGGGTCAGGAAGCCAAATTCAGATAGGACACTAAGAAGCAGTAGCTCTAATCCAAAGCTAGTTGGCTTGACAGAAAAGGCAATGCAATAGCAGTTCAAGCAGAGAGGAAGACAGACAAGACAGGAATGAGCTCTGAGAATTTCTTTTTTTAGCTGGTTCCTGTTACAGCTAAGAGAGAGAGGGTATGTCCTGAAATGACTGATGAAGCTGGGGAGAAGACATCTGTAAACTTACAGAGTTCTCCACATCTGGAGATTGGATAAAAATTCACTCATATTTTCTTCTAGTTTATTATTTGCAATTTTACATTTTATATTTTAATTTCTCTGGCTAGATTGTTACATCTATATATATATGAATGCAATTGGTTGATTGTGTGCTAACTCCTTCAGGTTTTATCAATAGGATTTGCTCTGTAGTCAAGACCAAGAATTCTGGAGTCAGACTGCTTGGGTCCCAATTTTCACTTTAACATCTAGTAAATAATCAGCAATATTGCGGCCTCCCTGGTAGCAAAACGGGTTAAGATACAGCACAATAAACCTATCCACAGCCACTGCTGTAACAATTCGATCCCAGGCCAGGGAGGAGACCCACATGGCGCAGCAGACCTCTCCTGTCTCACCCACTGCTCCCCTCAGCAGCATATTTCAGTACATCTGCCTGTTCTGCTCCCCACTCTGTCTCTGGTGAATCCTCTCACCTCTTGCATCTCTGGCCTGCATCCAGCTCTTGTATGCATAAATAAATAAATCTTTAAAATAAATAATCAGCAATATTACTTAACCACTCAATATCTCACATTCTTCTTCTATAAAATACATACAAAAATATTATCTGTCATAGGGTTGTCATGAAGATTAAGTGAGATATGTATATCACTGATAGAGAGTAGATATGCCGTAAGTTTTTACTCTTTTAATTGTATTTGCAGCTTCAGAAGGAATTACAAATAAGAAAAGAAGGGGTTTGGATTCCAAAGAATCAGGAGCAAGGTGGTGAAATGAGAGTTTTCAACCATCATCCCGACACAGATAAACATAACTTTGTGGGAGCCCAGAGTCTAATGGAAAAGTTCAAGCACAACACTGGAGCAAGAGATACTTGAGAAAGTTCTGGAAAATCTAATGTACACATGGTGACTGTATTTAACAATATTGTATTGTACACTTGAGATTTACCAGGTGAGTAGATTTTTTTTTAGATTTATTTATTTATATAAGCACTGGGTACAGTCAGAAGCGCAGGAGGGTGAGAGAATTCACTAAAGCCAGAGAAGGGAGCAGAACAGGCAGACTGACGAAATATAGTGCTGAGGGGAGCAGCGGGCAGCAGGAGAGGTCTGTGCGCCATGTGGGACCTTTGCTCGGCGGCCAGGGATTGAACCGGCCCTGCAGAGGCTGCGGGCAGCTTCGCAACCCAGTGCTCAACCGCTGCACCACCAGGGAGGCTCAGGTGAGTAGATCTTAAGCATCTTAAGCACTTGCTGCCCTCACCCATAAGATAATTATGGGTTGAAATGGATATGTAAATTGCCTTCATTGGATAATCATTTCACAATATACATATCACTTACCATATTGTACATGTAAAATATATACAATTTTTATTTATCAATTTTACTTCACAAATTTGAGGAAATAAGTATCAGTATGAATTAATTGATTCAAGATAAATATAGGAATATAGAAATAGAATATCTGTATATACACATAGATACAAGTAAATATTAATGCACGTATAGATCCCTGGCTATGTCTGCTGAGAGGATTAGAAACAAAGATAGCTCAGTAGCAACAAATATATCCAGTACCCAAATTTTGTTTTGTAAATGCAATTTTCTTAAAAAAATAAAAAAAACCTGGGAGAGACAAAAAGACCCTGGAACATCTCATAATGCCAAAAAACAAATGGTCACAAACTAATGGGGATTTGTTGAAATCCCCATTAACACATAAAGACCAATATGAAGGGAGTCCCCATGGCCAAATCTAATATAATTTAAGCAACAAAATACTGTTACTAATATATTTTAAGCCATGGAATAAAATCAGTATCTGTGTGACCATAGTGATAATAAAATTAATAAAGGGCTGGTAGAGTAGAAAAAATTCTTTACTGTGTAATTCAAAGTAATAAATGTTGACGAGGTAATTGAAATAGAAATCACTATTTGCCAAACACCATAGTAAAAATTGTTTCTGATAAGAATATTTAATGGACTCTGAAATTGGTAGGCAACTTACAGAGAAATAAGATTTTTTGCGTAATGTCAAAATATCTCCTCAGAAGATGCTTATGCAAAGAGAAAATATGTGAAGGTTACGAGTGAGAAAGGATTGGAAACTATCACAGGTTAAAGAATCTAAGGAAATATGATAATTAAATGTATTGTGTGATTCTGGATAGCTGTGTTCTGGTCCAGGAAAAGGATAACATTAATAGGACAGTTGACAAAATTTGACTATGTTCTGTAGATTAGTTAGTGGCATTTATTGGTATTATTTCTTTGGTTTAGATCATTCACTTTTGCTATGTAACATTTAACATTTGGGGAAGTTGAATTAAGGAAATATAGGAATTCTTTTTTTTTTTTTTAAAGATTTATTTATTTATTTATTTATACAAGCACCTGGTACAGTCAGAAGTACGGGAAGGTGAGAGGATTCACCAGAGACAGAGCGGGGAACAGAACAGGCAGACCAACGAAGTACACTTGCTGAGGGGAGCAGGGGGTGCTGCAGGAGAGGTTTGTGCGCCATGTGGACCCTCACCCGGCGGCTGGGTATTGAACTGGCACTTCAGAGGCTGCGGGAAGCTTTGCAGCCCAGCGCTCAACTGCTGTACCACTGTGGAGGTCCGAAATACGGGAATTCTTTTGTATATAGTTTGGGATCTCTTTTGTAAGTCTGAAATTATTTCATAATGAAAATTTTAAAAATAAAAGATTTTTCATGTTCACCAAATTATTTCCAGACTCTTCTAATATATATCTTAGCTATTGATATATATTTATATATAACTTGGGTTTTCAAAAAAGATTTATTTTATTTATTTATGCATGAGCTGAGGTATAGACCAGAGGTGTGGGATTGGGGACAGTGAAAGGATTCACCAGAGACAGTGAGGAGCAGGACAGGTAGATTGACTGAAATACACTGCTGAGGGGAGCAGCGGGTGAGACAGAAGTCTTCTGCACCATGTGGATTAGCTCTCTGCCAAGGGGTCAAACTCATGCCACAGTGGCTAGTGATAGCTTGATAGGGCTGAGACTTGAACCCCTGCACCACCAGAGAGGCCCTATACTCAGTTCTTTTTCAGTGTTGTCTCTTCTCACAATGACCTAGCTTAAATTCTTCCTACCTAAATATGTGCCCCACATAGTCCTATCTCTGCTGCATGACTTCATTCCTTGGTCACAGATCTTAGGTAGAGATATGGCCAAAACTGTGTTCATAAGATGCTTTCTACTACAAATTCAAAATTGGGGCCACAGTGTTCTTATTTAGACAGAGCTACTGTCTTAAGTGAAGGAATTAAAAAAAAACTTCAGAGCTGGAGTACAGTTATATCCTGATGTGTGAACTGGGTGGCAGAGATAGTTGTGATTGTATATGACATGTTGAATTTTTATAGTACGTTTTACTCCAAAGCTCAAGCCAGCTGCCAAGAGGCAGAAACCACACCTGTTGACTTTACGGAAATCATTTAATATAGATAATTGTTAACTAGGTATTGATACAGTGAAAAGGAAAATGGTGATATCATGAAGATAGCAATTGCACGGAGCTGATATTACTGTTAGGGTTGGATGGAACAAGGGGACATACTTGGAACTATTAAAACATAAAAGCTTAGGGGAGGATCCAGGAAGAAATTTGTGGAAGATCACAGTCCAGCATCACTAAACATACTATGGAAGGGTTTGATGCAGAGAGACAGGCACATCATAACTGATACACTAGCTCAGGTCATTTGCTGTTATTTGCAAACAAAGAGTTCTAACAAACAAATAATATTTTGTATTACAATGTATACACTCTCCAAGATGATTTCAAATGGTTGCATAGTTTTTAATTGTATGCATGTAGTACAGTGATTCACAGACCTCTGCTTTTAAGTCTAGGTTGTTTCAGTTATTCCTTGTTATGCACAACATTGGTATAAACATCCTGCCCATTCTTCACTGTACAATTATCTTTGTATATTTTTTTTCTTCTATGAATCAATTCCTATAACTTGTGGGTGAAAAGATGCACATTAAAAATCAAAACTTCGCTGTGAAGCTCTTGGCAGCCTCTGCAGTGTGGGTTTGATCCTGACTGGCCGGCGAGAATCCCACATGGTGCCACAGACCTCTACTGTCATGCCTTCTGCTCCCCTCAACAGTGTATTTCTGTGGTCTGCCTGTTCTGCTCCCAGCTCTGCCTCTGGTGAATCCTCTCACCCTCCCACGCCTCTGGCCTGTACCCCTGCTCTTGTATAAAAATAAATAAATCTTTAAAATAAAATAAAAATAAAAGTTTTTTGTGTTGGAAAATTCTGTATCTATAGAAAAATTACTTGAATAGACAGAACACCTTTTTAAACTTTTGGCTAAATTCAAAAATGTTTTTCACTATCTTTACATTTTTTTTTTCTCACTCTCTCCCACTCCCACCCTGCCTCTTTCTCTCCTTCTCTTTCTGAATCTTGTAAGAGTAATTTGCAGATAATAAAAGGACATGTATTTTATTTTTCATTTATATATATTTTACATCATTTTTCATTTTTAAACAATGTTTGCTTCCCCACTCCCCCCAGTTGCAGTCGCCATAGAATTTCCTTTACCAATTCACCTGTGCACCATCCCCTGTGTCCCCTGTACTCCTCCCTCCTTCCCTCTGATTCCCCTCCCTCCTCTGGCTTATTTCACTGAGCATAATTCCTTCTAGCTCCATCCACGTTGCTGCAAATGGCATGAGTTTATCTTTTTTGATTGCTGAATAATATTCCATTATGTATATATACCACATCTTGTTGATCCAGTCATCTATTTTTGGGCATTTGGGTTATTTCCAGGTTTTACCTATTATAAATAATCCTGCAATAAACATAGGTATACAGGTGTTCTTTTGAATCAATGTTTTTGTGTCCTTTGGGTAGATCCCTAGGAGTGGAATTGCTGGGTCATATGGTAGCTCCATTTTTAGTAGACTGAGGAACCTCCAGACAGCTTTCCGTAGTGTTTGGACCAGTTTGCATTCCCAGCAGCAATGTAGGAAAGTTCCTTTTTCACCGCATCCTTGCCAACATTTGTTGTTGATAGTTTTTTTAATATGTGCCATTCTTACTGGAATAAGGTAGTATCTCAATGTGGTTTTGATTTGCATTTGCCTAATTATAAGGGATGCTGAACATTTTTTCATATGCCTGTTGGTCATTTGCATTTCCTCTTTGGAGAAATGTCTTTTAAGTTCTTCTGCCCATTTCCTGACTGGATTGTTTACTTTGTTTTTGTTAAGTTGTATGAATTCTTTGATTATCTTTGTGATCAGTCCCTTATCAGTTGCATAGAGTGCCAAAATTATTCCCAATCAGTGGGGTGTCTCTTTGTTCTGTACAGCTTTTGCTGTACAGAAGCCTTCAGCTTGATGTAATCCCAGGTGTTTATCTTTTCCTTCGTTGCTTTGGGTGATGAGTCTTTAAAGATGTTACTGAGATGTATGTCTTGTTGTGTTTTACCTATATTGTCTTCTATATATTTTATGGTTTTAGGCCTTATGTCCAGATCTTTTATCCATTTTGAGTTGATTTTTGTGCATGGTGAGAGGTAGTGGTCTAGTTTCATTCTTTTGCCTGTGGTGGTCCAGTTTTCTCAGCACCATTTATTGAATAAATTGTCCTTCTTCCATTGCATATTCTTTGCTCCTTTGTCAAAGATTAGTTGTCCATATACGTGTGGCTTTATTTCTGGGCTTTCTATTCAATTCCATTGGTCTATGTGTCTGTTTTTGTTCCAATACAACACTGCTTTAATTATTATGACTTTGTAGTATAGTTTGAAGATTGGAAATGTGATATCTCCATTCTCCTTTGTTTTCATCAATAGGGCTTTGGCTATTAGAGGTTTTTTTGTGGTTCCATATGAATTTCATCAGTATTTGTTCTTTTTCTTTGAAGAATGTCATTGAGATTAGGAAATACATTTTAAAGACTTTTAATTCATATGGCCAAAATGCACTCCAGAAAAATTATACCAAATTATACTTATTAGTAGTATAAGAAATTGTTTCTTCTCCTTCCCCCTATTATTCCATTCCTGGTCTTAATTAAGACATAGTCTTAATTAAGCTTTAATATATTACTTGTTTTTATTAACTTTCTTCTTTTTAAAAATGTTATTGATTTATCATTCAGATACATTTAAACATCATTATTTTTATTTTCATATTCCCCATACAATTGCAACCCCCTGATTTTGACCCCAATCCCTCCTTTCCCTGCCCCGCCCCCCAAGTGTGTCTCTGGTTCATAGTTGTTTGTTGATTTTGATTTTTTTCTTTCTTATAGTTATTCTTTTTCCTGGACCCTTATTTAGGTTTTCTAGATTCCTGTTATGAGTGAGACCATCTGGTATTTTTCTTTTTCTTTCTGGCTTATTTCGCTGAGCATGCTCTCTTCCAGCGCCATCCATGTTGCTGCAAATTGCATGTGTTTATCTTTTTTGAATGCTGAGTAATATTCCGTGGTGTATATGTACCACATCTTCTTGATCCAGTCATCTATTTTAGGGCATTTGGGTTGTTTCCAAATCTTAGCTATTGTAAATAGTGCTGCTATAAACATAGGGGTGCAGGTGCTCTTTGGAATTAATGTTTCTGTGTCCTATGGGTAAATACCTAGGAGTGGAACTGCTGGATCATATGGAAGCTCTATCTTTAGTAGGTTGAGGAACTTCCACACAGCTTTCCATAATGGTTGGACCAGTTTTCACTCCCACCAGCGGTGCAGGAGAATTCCTTTCTCTCCACATCCTCACCAACATTTGTTGTAGCTAGTTTTTTTAATATGTGCCATTCTCACTGGTGTAAGATGGTATCTCATTGTAGTTTTGATTGGCATTTCCCTGATTACAAGTGATGTTGAACATTATTTCATACACCTGTTGGCCATTTGTATTTCCTCTTCGGAGAAGTTTCTTTTTAGCTCTTCTGCCCATTTTTTGGCTGGATTATTTTCTTTGTTGTTGTTGAGTCTCATCAGCTCTTTGTAGATTTTGTGATGAGTCCTTTATCATTAGTGTTGTGTGCAAAAATTTTTTACCAGTCGGTGGGGTTTCTCTTTGTTTTGGTTATTAAACATCATTTTTTTGAGATTTGAAACGTTCCTGTGAAAAAGATCCTTGGAGGTAAAAGTTATACACTAAGTTTTTATGGGTGAAATAACATATCTAAGGTTTGCTTTACAATATACCAGCCAAGCTTTATCCCTTTTGTGGCCATCTCTGAAGCACAGCGGCCAAAATGAAGTTCAATCCCTTTGTGATTTCTGACCAGAGCAAGAATCATAAAAGGCATTTCAAATGCACCCTCCCCCATTCATAGGAAGATCATATCTTCCCCTCTTTCCAAAGAGCTGAGGCAGAAGTACAATGTCCGTTCCATGCTCATTCGGAAGGATAATGAAGTTCCATGGGCCTCCCCGGTGACCCAGCAGTTGAGCGCTGGGTTGCGAAGCTGCCCGCGCCGGTTGGATCCCCGGCTGCAGGGCGAGGGTCCCACATGGCGCGCAGACCTCTCCTGCCGCGCCCGCTGCTCCCCTCAGCAGTGTATTTCGTCAGTCTGCCTGTTCTGCTCCCCGCTCTGGCTCTGGTGAATTCTCTCA